TCCCCTCCTACGTTTCTTGCCCACCCCTAGCATACCCCCTGGGTGGAAAGAATGACAAAATAGGGAAAAAGAGGAAGCACTGACCCTGTGCAAGCACAGGTATCAACACTGGTTTAGGCACAAATCCAAAACACAGCACCATACAGGCTACTATGAAGAAAGTTAACTTCATCCCAGCCAGATCGAGTACACACATGAATAGTTTTAGATTAAAAGAATGAAAATATGACACTAGGAATCTTTAGAATGACTTGAACTTAAACTCAGTTTAGAGGTTAAATGCTTGAGTTTTAAATGGTACTTCACATTTCACTTGATGCACTCGAAGAGTCACTGATGGAAGGTATGATGCTAGTCCATTTCCATTTCCACCTGTAAGCTTGCACCTCTTGAGAAAGTTTTGATACCCTACAGCTGCAGAAGAATGAGTTGGATCAACCACCAATGTCATGCAAAAATTATTTACCAAAAGACATAGTTTTGTAGCGGCTCAGCTGACTGAACCAACTCATCTGTGGCTGCAGGCTGACTAGATCCAGTGAAGGTGAGGGTAAAGGAGCATAAGTTCAGAGGCAGCAAAGAGCCAAGAACCACCTGTTTGGTAGTAAAATTTGGTTAGGTATAGTGTGAAACCACACACTTGGTTTACACAAGAGGAATGAGAGACAGTACAAAACATAATGCAGCAATGTTCAGAAAAGAACAACAGTAACGTTCCCTTTGTAGGGATCAGATACTCTATACTTCTAATATAAATAAATAAATACTTTCTAAAATCAGAATGATCTTTCAGATTAGCAAACACATCTGAAAAGCAAGGCTGAATAGAATTTTTCAAGTAGGACTTATATTTGTGTGATATCATTACACTAATAAAATGGGCAAAACGAACATATTACTTTCACATTGGAGATTTGAAATTTTTTCCCTTCAAAGTCTTTTGAGCAGGTTTAAGGTATGTTCTAGTAGGCCATTCTGCTGAAACTGCTAGCCTGAATGCAAATCTCACCTCGTTTTTGTCTGTGAAGTGTATTGGCAGGTGCTCCATGTTTCGGGCTGTGTGAAGGATGTGCTCTGAGACTGGGATCCTGTGACAGCAGCGCTGCGATCCTGGTGTGCTCCTGGGAAGTGCGTGCTACCTGCGCGAGGTTCCGAGGGGCTGGCCGGCTCCTGGCCGCAGCACGGAGCTGTGCCACGTCCCCTCTGCTTTGCCAGGCTCCCAAATCGTTCTGGGCTGGTTGATGCCGACATATGGGGTCAGCAGACAGCAGAGATTCACTGTGAATGTGTGAAACAGGCAGGAGAGCGTGCCGCAGGAGTCAGATCGCCGCGTTCTAGTTACTATATTTTGGGCTTGACAGGTCTGTGTTAGTGCTGAAGGTAAGTTTTTTTTCTGTTGTAGGATGGACAAACAGCTGTTTAGGAAAAACTCTGAAATCACTGGATAGCCCTATCAGAGGTCATGTTTTCATATTTTGTGCCTTCTTGGATCATATGTCAAATACCAAAAGTGAAACTGTTAGATGTTATTAACAAAAAAAATCTGTGTGAGCGTGTCATGAGTTCACCAGAGGGATTTCTGTCTATTTCAGCATTTCTCTGCAGAGTTTATATGCTCTGTTCAGTCTTTTTTGTGTTTAGATCTGCCTCTGGATGTGTAATAATAAATGGAAGTTGACTTTAGAGGACACGCAGCATCTCCTTATTCTGTTTGAACTTCCTAGATTTTTTTTGTCCATCTGCTATAATATCCTTTTTTTTGTCTTTTTTCTATCTCTGCTTATGTGCATGTTCTCTGTACATCCATTGGTTTGGTCATATCATAGTGTATGGAACATGCAGCACATAGAAAGCAGTAATTTTCTACCTGTAAGTCAGTTGAATAAAACCCATGGAAGTAACCAGGCAATAACAACAGCAAAGTGGGTCAGCAGGGCTAATGTCCTTCAAGTTTCACAATATTTGCAGCATTTTGTATGAAGTTCTCTGGTGTTCAGAGACCTTAAGAAATTCACAAACCTAGTGCTTTGAGTGCCGTCTATGCCAGTACCACAGTCAGGGTGAGAACTGTGTTGCAGAACATAGGGGGTTTTCACTTGGTAAAGAACGTGAAATGTGATGTTTTAGTCAGTTTCTATTGTTCCAGTTTAGCCTCAACAAGACAGGAAAAGGCACTATATTGTGGGAATTGCATGCCAGCAAATAGTGAGTGCTAACTTTTAATGACAAGTACAGTTAAGTAAAAAAGTACTGCTGTAGAGGGCAATATTTTGTTCAGCTTTTTCCAAAACAGATTTCTCTGGACATCTGATTTTTATTTTTTATTATCATAGGAGAGGGATTACAAATTCATGTTAAAGTCAAGAAAGCTTCAATCTTTTTTTTCTAAAAGAGAGTTCAGGTTTTTTTTTCTAATTCATCAGCTTATCTTTAAAGTTTACAGAACCTTCCTACCCTACAAACGTTCTTCCTGTACACCAACTAACTTCCAATGTAAGAATGAATATGACACTGAATGCTAAAATGAGCGGGAAGGGGCAGTTGTTTCGTTGGATACATCTACATGGAACTTTGAGTTCATATTTTGTCTGCACTGTGAGTTTAGGAAAACACCTAGAAAATTGAGGTAAACTGTTGCTTTTACTACCCTTTCTTATGTGGGTGTATCCACCACTAATAAGCAGAGAATGCACTTAGCCTGGCTTTTATTAGGCTGAATCCTATCTGCTTTTAATGCAATTTTTATGAAGGAAAAATCTTTCCAAATTCATCCACTACTATTTTAGTTTCATTTCTGTGATCTCAAAATGCACATTTTTAAGAATATTATTTTTCTCTGATAAGGGGTGAAAATATGGATGAGTTTTTACAGCTTTTTTTTTAATATGTAGAAGGTGAAAGAAAATTATTCTTCTGTACCTTTTTACTAGCCAGTTTTCTACAGTATCCACCCTGCTATAGTAATTTATAATAGAAGAAGCTCCGGCAGATAAAAATGTTTTCCTGCTTTCTCTGGAACTGGGATGCATCTCTTATCGAAAGCAGCCAGTGAGGCATCCCTTTTTTCCACAGAGGTTAGCAAATGAGAACATTTTTCAAGAGCAGGATTTTGGTCAGAAAGCAGGAAGCTTAGGATCTGTTTTCAAGAGATGTATGAAATGCTAAATGAAGTATGTATCTTTTTAGTAGGTTTCAAATTGATTTATAGAGACCTATATTTCTCTTGGGAAAAAAACAAAACAAAACAACAAAACAACAACCCAAGTGCAAAGCAGAGAAATCAGAGGACTTCTGCTCTACTTGTTTCTGCAATAGGTGTTCTTTTTATGTGGCCACATCCTATTTTTCTACCTTTGACACAACCCACTCCATCAGAGCCAAGTGGATTCTTTCAGTTAGCAATTGTGGCCACCTACTGGGGAAAAAGAAAACAATGTAAAAATAAAACAAATAATAGGATATACAAAACCAGCAATACCTTGAGCAGAGGTAGATAGCCAGCTAGAAATCTAAGAAGCACAGGAATGAAAATTCAAGTCCCAGTTTCCTGTGCCCTACTATTTCCGTACAATTTTTGGTGATACTATACTTTGCTCTCCTCCATGTCAGTAGTGGCCCCTTCATCTGACAGCTTTATCCTTACCCAGTTACCCCTCTCAATCAGATCAAATTCATCCCAGATTTCTACCATTAGCAGCTTTGTTCAAATCACAAGTTAGTCTTTACTAGATAGATATTGCACCTGAAAGATGGATGGATTACAAGGCAAGACATAGTGTATAATTTTATTTATTAAATTAACAACAATAATTGCTTTATTTGGCAGGAACACTCTGAACTTTAAGTAATATCAAATATGGCTGAAACATGAAATGAAATGAACATGTTGAGAATTTACAAGAGCTTCTGTGGTTCCTAAGTAATTGTGGATGTTCTATATTAGCAGTGTGGTACAGCCAGGAAAACACCCTTACTTTTGAAAAAGGGCACCAGCGTGGCCACAGCCAGATAACAGCTGCTAAAAACGTGTTACCTGGAGAAGGTTAAGTTACATTCATGGGTGCTAAAAGCTAGCTGATCATGGAACTGACATGTACTGTCACTCCTCTGACAGCTGGAGCAGGTAGTCAGCCACCCCTGCCACCCAGTGGCCCAGTCATCAGAGAGCAATCACTGTCTAAACCTCTTGTCTTCTATTTGTAGGAAAAGGTCCTGAGAATCCAGTTTTAATTTAGCTTCCTTAATTTTAAATTCGTATCAAACAAATGTTAGAGCTGAGAATAAAATGGCAACAGCTGGTAATTTTTGTTAATTACGGTTAAGGTCTGTATGTTTATCTAGAATTATTTTTGCAATCTTAGGGACTATAGGGAATGAAGCAGGACATGATTAAATTTAGAGGTTTTGTTGGGAAGCAGGGAAGAGTTTGCTAAATGTCACCTGAAAGTAGAAGTCTTTGTAAGAGCTGAGGGGCTTTTGACAGTGAAACTTGCTGCTTTCCTGGAGTTATCCACATCTATTTGTAAATGGCAAATACAGTGGTTTAAAGATGTGATGTCACGTCTCATTTAAGACAAATAGTAAGAGCATTCACCTGTCCTCATACACGGGTAGTGCTGGCAGGCTTCTCTCACCCACCTCTGTGTATATGGGGGTTGCGGTTTTCTCTAGAGGAACAGTCTCAGTCTAAAATATTATATTAATATGTTTATATATGTGGCATTTGTGAAAGGTGCTGTAATTTATTAGAATAAAGATTTAAAGTTTGAGCAGACTTCTGACTATGTAAGACCTTCTTTCGACCCAAGGAAGGGTCAACCTACTGGCTGGAAAGCTGGTGGATTTTCAAGGACTTTAGTAATTGGTCTAAGAAACTACCTCTGCAGTTGATTCTTATTTTTTTCTTAGATCATGCCAGTTACAAAATAGCCTGAGTGAAATCTTCCCAGCTTTCTTCAGGGGGTGTGAGGGAGACGGCGAAAGGGGTGTGAGGGGGAAAGATGGTGGGTGCGGGGCGCAAGGGAGATGGCGAGTGGCTCTGTGGGGCAGACGACCGTGGGCACTGGGTGAGGGAGGAACACAGTGGGCGCTGGGTGAGGGGGAGATGGCGGCGGGCTGCGAACGATGGTCG